GATTGTTTCCTAATACAGAAGAGATAGCCCTCTATGAGTTCCAGCGACAAATGCAATTGTTCTATCAAGAGTACAGCCAACATTTCCAGGCGCCTGCCCAACAGGCTCCAGCTCCTGCCGCCAAATCGACACGTGCCTCTGACAACCCTGCGGCTTTATCCCAAACAGTGCAGCAACATCAACGAAGGCAACAGCATCATAATTCACAGCATCGACAGGCCCATCACCAGCACCAACAATCCAATTATCAGGCTCATCAGACTAATAACCATCACCAGCAGCAACAACATCAGCCTCAACCACAAACGAATGCTTCGGATACTTCCTCCCAGCGCACAACCACTCCACAACAGCATCCCCAACAATCGAGCTACCCAGACCATACAGTAGCACATCAGGTAGCTATGGACTCACGACTTGAACAAGAGGCGCTAATGCTGCGTTATCTACAGGCTCTTATGTGTAGCTCAGCTGGACTTCCGGCAAATGCCGAAATTGCAGCCGCAACAGCCAGTGCCAATACTGGTAAAATGTCCGGATCGGCAAATAGCGAGAAGGCCGATTCACATCAGGCTGTAAAGAAGAAACATCACCACCACCACCACCATCATCAGCAACAACAGCACCAGCATCAACAGATATCCCAGTCTCAAAATCAGCCACAACTCAAACATCAGTCATCCGCTGTGTACCCAGCTGCAATACTGAACCCAAACGAAGCCGCTGGTTGCACTCGAGGGACATCGACTGTAGCGACAACGGCCGCCGGCGGTAATAACAGTGAATTGGAATCAGCGGCTATGACAGAATATCTGGCTATGCTGCAAGCATGGTCGAATCTCGTGCCGCCGGGGCTCAATGGCCGTCCGAATAGTGGATTGGGAGCGTCTCTTGCAGACCCCAGCCTCTTAGCTGCTGCCGCAACCGCTGCTGCGGCTTACTCTTCCACCTCTTCTTGTTCCTCGACCTCATCTTCCTCTTCCTCATCCTCAACTGCCTCCACCTCTTCTACCGCATCAGCGGCTGGCCTTTTTGGTTTCTTACCACCTACCGGTCACATCGGCAATTCTGGACTTCTGCCAGAATTGGTTGGACCTTCGGCCGGTCAGGTAATTTTGCCGCTACAGCATCCAGCAGTTGCAGCTGCTGCTGCGGCGGCAGCTGCTACAGGTGGCCTCCCTTTGTCTCATTCACCACCGCAGCGCCTTCATAATCCGCCCTCTAAACAACCGCCCGTCTTTCAACTGCCTTAGATGGAAGCACGGATTTACTAATGGTTTCTCAGACTGATGAACTGGCTAATGGACTGATTAAAAAAGTGACAAGCTTTCCCATTTGACATCGATGTGGCCATATTTATACATATTTCTTTCCAAATTTCACATATTCTCCTTAGTTCGATCATTCATTGTGTCTTTTATCGATTTAATTAGCTCTGTGTGAAAATATCTACATTCTCGCTTTCTGTCTCTATAAGCATATCTATATGTAATCTCCCTTTATCTTTATATTTTTCTGTCTCTTTCCTTCATCAATAAACACGTACGTTTTGAGATTGCTCATTCATTCGCCAGAACATCTATTTAAAAATCCTGATTCTTCTCTTTCTTAGACCATTGCTCTTATTTCCGTTCATTGTATATTTTCCCAAGTTGTAACTTTTTTCTAGCACAAATTTACCCGATTTGCCATCTATTTTGTACGCGATAGTTGTCTGTTAATGGTAGCCTATTCATTGATCTTCATGCATACCTAGTTGCTCCTAAAATTATATTTATATATTTATCATTCTCTACTCTTATGGTATATTCGTATATCTTCCTCGTAATTCAGTTTTATTTTTACTATTTATCATTTTTAATAATTTTTCAAAAGACATCATCACAATTTTTATTTATACCTTATGTGTATATACGAGCATAATTACTAATGAGCCTAAAACTCTTGTATAAAAGAGTACGAAAGAGGATGATTATCTTATATATAATGTTTTTTTCTAGTTACTGTAAAAATGCTGATTTTGATCTTATAGACTCTAAATTTTGTCTTCTTCTGAGCCATGTTTTCCAACCACTACCATATGTTCTAATCTTTTTTCCACAAATATATTTTCCGTGTGAGTGTTTGAATGATTGTTGAATATCTCTCTATTCAATATCTTAATTTCTCTCCTCTGTAACCATTCTGCATGTTTGCTCACTCGTTCGAATACCCAGGCAAACATTCTTTTGTATGACAGGTTTAATCTAGCTTCGATCTGGTAGTAGTCTCATTTTCTATGGCTCATCTCATTCAGACAACTAGTGGGCATATAAAAACAATTACCGCAAAAAAAGAACCATTCTTATAAGCCTTTTTTATGTTCACTACCATTTTAGTGCCGAGAGATGTCTTTATCTCTCCTATTCACTACTTACCCTCTTATGCTCCATCTTTTTTTTCTCATTCTCAGTTAAATGATTTAACCGCTGTAACCGATGCCTCTTCATTTTAGTTCAATTTTCTTACTCCAATGAGTATTCATTTTTACCTCAGCTGCATCTTCTCGACTTTGCCTTATTTCAGTGATCATCTATTTTCTTTAAATCTGATCTCTCCTACACCTTTGCCTTTCTATCCTTGTATTGCTTTCCAGGAAGTGCTTAGCTCTTTTGTCAACAAGTACGTGTTAAAAACCAACAGGCGATTTCCGGCACCACACCACTATCATGATCATTACCTCGACTCTCCTTCAAAATTGTGCCAGCAGTGACGTTTGTCTTCGTTACCTTGATTTACTAGTTTCTATCCATTTTCGTTTACGCTCGTCCAACTTTATCCACATTTGCCTCTGTTCGGCACTTTTTTGCCCAAATAAGAGTATGCTTTGGCATGTGGATGCCAAAATCTTTTTAGAACTATATGTATAGCCCAGCAAACCGTATTGCTTTAGTTTCTCCATTCCTGCATACTTGATTGGCTTACATCATTTGTATTTTCCAAGTACTTCTTGTTTATACTTCCATTATTTAAATAGGGTTCAGGCTTGCCTAATCGGGTCAGAAACCTTGTAGCTGGTTTGCTCTAGTTATCTTCACCTCACATCTGCTCTCAAACTATCTTCTAACGGCCTTGTTCACAGAGCAGTTTTCACCATCCAACCATTTGCATTCATACATCTTTAAAGGTATCTGAATTTTCCAGAATCGTCATTCCTTCACTTTTGCCCATTGGCCTATCCGTCGTAACCAACCCCATACCTATATAATCTAATTAAGGGCATTTTCCTGATCACTATCCTTTTTATAGTCGGATTTATCAATTTTTCTCTTGAATTTTTTTGTCATGATAGCAGAAGTATTGCTTTCTACAACTGTCTCTATCGGCATTTTCCTTGATTGTATGTAAACTTCTTTTTGCATATTCGCTTGTATATGCCTGCGATCTGTGACTTAATAATGTATTTCTTTAGGCTTCCCGTGGTGTGTTTTGTTGGAGGCCATTTATGTCTCCTATAATAACATGTATTGAACAAACTTATTGTTGCTCTAGTTTGTTTTATAGAAGTTTTCGAGCCGAAGTTCCTGGATTCGGATTTCTTGATTGAGATGAAAAGTTCCACATACAATACCTTCCCTCATTGAAGGGCATAGGGGGAAGCAACGCAATATTGTTCAGCCATATGTCGTTGAAACCCAGCTTTTTCTTACGCACACTAATATCAGGCTCCTTTATTGGGAGAGTGAAATCAGATGAAGAGTGCATAGGACGAAGTCGACAAGCTATGCCTTGTTTCATACATGAACTCACAATCTTTATTTCTTTGCCTCAACCGAGTTAGCATTACTATGCTGTTTGGCAAAGAGTGTGCGCAAGTTAAATTACTTGACGGAAAATTTTGAAAAAATATATTCTAAATTTTCCTTCTTATCAATGACGACTTTTTCCATAGTATCGTGAGATTTGTATATAGTTATTTCTGGTCGCTTTCAATGACTTCTACTAAATTGCGAAGTAAGCATGACTGGCATGTATTATTATGAAGATGAAAATGAGACTACAACCACGCAGTCGTATCCTCAGCTTGCGGTGTGTAGAATCTTTTGCTATCCATAGTAAATTACTTTTTTAGCTTCTTTAGAATGACCCCTACATCGCACTAAAAGGCCTTAAATCAGGTAAATACAGTTGATTAAAGATCTATTAGAACTACGTAAAGTTCATA